CGTTATAATTTCGTCGAAATGCACGTAAAAAGCATTTTTGTGAGACACTGGTTACATCGAATAGGTTGTTGGTATTTTTAAAATAATGAACGGCGTAATTTGGGATAAGATGCAGAAGATTTTTGTGCCAATTTCGAATGTACCAGCATATGCCATGATGCAACAAGAACGTTTCAAACAAAATCGAGCACTCGAAAATCACAATTTTCAATTGCAGAATTTGACTTTAACATCTTTCCAGGTATGTTATTTTTACTTAGATATCTAATGGTTGTTCTTTATATTTTGTGAAATCATGCGATAACTATATTTTCTAAAAAATAAAAATTAACAATATTATTTAAATATTTATGTTAATTAATAATCATTCATATGCTATATAATTTACAAAACATATCACTCTAGCAAAATTTATATATATTACAAAAAGATTTGAATATTAAAGCTATTATAAGATTTAGAAAGACAGGGCCAACCATAACGAGCATATTAAATTAGTTAGAGATGTAAGGTCAACACATAATTACTTTATTTGTTAGTATATACAATGATATTAATAAAAAATAAAAAATAAACATTTCGGCTGTTACCTCAGCCTTCTTCAGTAAATATATAAAAATAAAATTAAGAAATATTACGCATTAGAGTCTATTTTGTAATGAACCTTTGTTTGATGAGTCATTAATTTATATTGGGTGACGCTTATATCATTTATTAAAAATAGATATTGTTTTTGATCGGCTAACCATTTTTTAACTGAGATGGTAACTTTTTAAATATGTCAAAAAACATGCAAACGAGCTCACTGTTGTTATTAGATCAAGTTGACAGTCTATTCCACGTCATCAATCCTTTTGCACATTATTAGTTGAGAATATCATCAGAACTGCTTAATATGAGAATTGAAACAATTAGATGTTATCCAGCATCAAAAAGTTAGTCCCCATCATCAAGAATATTTCCGAATAGGTTCATTATTGTAGTGTATTTCACCGTGTTTGTTTTAAATTGATGAGTAGTCAAGATTCCGCCAAGTCAATGTGTTCATTATCCAGTGTCACAATATGTGTTGACTTTACATCTCTAACTAATTTAATATGCTTGTTATGGTTGGACCTGTCTTTCTAAATCTTATTTTTATAATATTACACGAGCCTTGTCTTTAAATATCTAATTTTAATCTTTATTAAATTTAAAGCTATTATATTTTATATATATTATATATACATTTTTATATTTAATTTTTATATATAATTTCTATATACTTTTTTTGTTATTTCCATATACTTTTATTTCTTATGGTTTAAAAAATTTCATGTAATACATTATTAATTTGATATTTGACATTTTAAATTTTATCTTAAACTTTAATTTTAAAAAATTAGATTGTAAAAATTAATAAGGGACAGAAAAATAGATAACTAATATATATATATATATATATAAATATATATATATATATATATATATATATATATATATATAATATTATACGTGTGAAAACTATTAATGTAAAAAATATATATATATACATATATTTAATTTTTAATGAAATTGTAGTAATTCACGAGGTAAAAAATATATCTTTCGGATTTAATTGGAAAACGAACGAATAAATTAATTATTTATTATTTTCAACATAATAATAATTACTGCAATAATTTGCTATAGATAATTATTTAATAGAAGATATAAATTAAAGAGAAAAAAAGAAACAGAATGAAAAACACAAGAATCGAGGAATTGACTAATAATTTCCTCGATTATATGTATTTTAGGAACCAAATTTTTTTGAATTTTACGACAACGACACGAAAGTTACAGGACTTTGCGGTGATTTATGGACTCTTCTCTCCGAATCATTAAATTTTACGTAAGAAATACATATTCTATTGATTAGATCATGAAAACAGATTTTAATATGTTCTTATCCAGCAAACACCGATATATAATTGGTATATTGCTATAATAAAATGGAATATAACAGGTAATATAACGTGTACGTTACATGTAACATTCATGTTAGTTGTAATTTCCCACTCATAGATGTAACATTTTAATATAACATATATTACATTGTAGTTATATTGTAATTATATACCAAATAGCACATTGATGTATTGATAAGTCAGTGCTATCTTGGGATATAATGACAATATAACTACAATGTAATATATGTAATATTAAAAATGTTACATCTATGAGTGGGAAATTACAACTAACATATACGTTACATGTAACATGCTTAAGTATATAACATTTATATACTGTGTTTGCTGGGTAGATTTATGTGTAATATATATATACATATATATGTACACACAAAATTAAGAATAAACAGTGGTTGTAAAAGAGATATTTTGTATATTTAGATTACAACCAATAAGATCAAATGTAAACAGCGCAGGTGTGGTAGAAAAAAACCAAACTTATATAAATAAATTATTAGACATACTTTTTCGCAATGAAACTATTGCTATACCAAAAATCGAAACATACAGTTCGCTACTTACAGCTACTGATTTTACAATGCCTCTATGGATAAATAGGTACATATTTAATTTTGCTTATTATAATGAAGTTTTGTCATTCTATATTTAAAACTTAAATAGAAAAAAAGTAATTAATTGAGTTTCTAAAGAAATATATATTTTATGTAAATAAATAAGGTGTAAATTTATCTTTAATAGTTCAGTAAAATCTTGATAAAGATCTATATCTATATAGATGTCTATAATAATGGTAAAACAATTTTAGTTATCGAACATATATTCGTCTCGAGGAAATGCACGACATCACATGGATGGCAAAGGTGTTCTCTTGGAAAGTATGGTGCATTATACTGGTTATGCATGTAACGCTAAGCATCTGTAGTTTTTGGTCACAAATTATTCTCACACGAATCGAGAACAAATATAAAAACACAAACTTCGGCGAACATTTCTTTTATAATTTTGGAATGCTCTGCAATCAAAGTATGAAGAAGCAAGATCAAATATTTCATTTTTGCTCTTGTTTTTCAATAGTTATATATGTATATACATATACTGCAATAAAATTAAATAGCAATGCAAATATTATATAATTTATCAAAATTTTAAAATATCTTTATATATTTTTTATGAAGAAAAAAAGAGAGAAATTTTAAAAGTATGATTTAGAAATTGTGTGATTCAGAAATCAGATTCTAAATTTTATCAATGCATAATATATTATTTTAAAATTATATAATTGTATATATATACATATATATATATATATATATATATATATATATATATACACATATATGTATATATATCTGTTATTATCGAAAAATTTTATCGAAGTGACATAAAACGTAATTAATTATGTAATAATTGTAATAGGCTACGTTCCTGAGATTCTATATGGAAGATCAAAGATATTAGAAATATCACTAGGTCTTTTTTGTTCTATATTATATATGGCATTTGGTGCTGTATTATTTATTTATATGACAAAAAATATTATTATACCGCCATTTGATAATCTTCAATCTTTGGTAACTCATACTAGATATAAAGTTATTACTCTGAAAGGTTCTGTTGCAGATATTGCATTTAAGGTATTAATAAATAAATAAATATATACATATATAAAGTATTAATATATCTCTAATACTAATTATACATGTAATAAACTAATAAACATAATTTATTAAATTTTAAATTTTATTTTTTGCATTAAATAATTCATATGATTTAAAGAATTAAAAAAAATGCTTGTACATTTGTATATATATATTCTTAAATTCAGTTTTTAAAATATTTAGATAAGCCCTAACAGAGATTTTGTACGAGTAAGAACGGCGAAACGCGTTGTCTTTGCATCAACAATTGAAGAAATGTTTGAAACAATATGTTCCTCAACAGAAAAAAAATATACTGTAATTCAAGGTGAAGACGCATACAAAGCAACAAACACTATATGCAAACTAACTCCAGTTGGAGAATCCTATTTGAATATGTGGATAGCTGCAGGCATCGCAAAGAATTTTAAGTACAAGAGAACCATCGATCTCGGGTAAGAGATCAGCAATTTTTTAAAATATACAATTATATAATGTTATAATATGTCTGTTTTGTAAAAGATAACTTTTATAAATAGAATACTCAAATTAATGGAAGTTGGACTCTGGGATGTGCTAGAAGAACGTTGGATGGAAAAAAAAATTAAAGACGATTATACTAAAACGATGGAAGCAATTGGAATAGATCAAATTGCTTTACCAATTGCAGTGATGTGCTGTGGAACAGTAATAGCTTTTGTTATTCTTATAATCGAGAAAATCGTATATACTTATAAAATTAAGCAATTGTAATTATTTTTATTTATGCCGTCGCCAATATATACATTAAAAATTTATTTACGAGCAAGAATTTAACTCACATTCAGAAACTATTATATATATTGAAAATGTTCTTATTTTTGAGTTATTTAGTAACTAATGTAAGTATAATTGATGCTACAATTGAAAAATTGTAATCATTAACAATTCTATTAATAAAAATATTTAATTAATGTGTATTATATCAAATTATTATCAATATATATTATATTAATATAATTAATTATACCAAATTATTATAAGAGGGGTAATAATCCTAATTAGCATTATTCTTATATCAGGAATATCGTAATTATATTATCGTTTTTATTAAAACAGATTTAAAACTCTTTATTTTTTATTTAAATTGCCTTTTATTCTTTTATAAGTTAATTATATTTGCTGATATTTGCAAATAAAAAATCGTGCAACTTAATATTATAAATCATATTAATGAGAAAAAGAAGAATTATAATTTATAAATCACATAAAGATATATGGAGGAAAAAAGTATTGCCATTACCGCACACTTTTGTATTTTTTTTTATTCAAATAATATTTTTGTTGTATGTGTCTACGTTATATATAAATCAATCATATTCTATTATTCATTATGTATATATATTTAGAAAAAATTATATATAATTATATATATTTATATTTAATTAAATATTGACTTAAATATTGATTTTTTTCTTCAGATATTATTATTAGAAAATTACTGTTTTATTAATATTACATAATTTTATTTCTTTAAAAGACTTAAAATTTGATGTAAAGTATTAATATAAGTAATAACAAACAATAAAATAAATATCTTAATGAAATAAATTTTACAAATTTTATCTTAATGAGATAAATTTTATAAATTGAAATAAATATCGTACTTGCATTTACTTACGTAAATATATATTTTGTCATGCATGTGAAGACATAATATTACATCTATAAAAATTTGTCCGCAGTTTTATAAAAAACAGACGACACTTTATATTATATTTTTGAAAAAAAAAACTGAAAGAAATTGTCAAAGATTATATTAACATCAGTCATTTAAATAATATTTAAAAAAAGTATTAAAAGGCAAATAAATAATTATATTTGATTGGCAGACAAAATAAGGTGTTTCTGGTCACGGTTTAAATACTATTAAACTAGATTATTACTGATGAATACGATAATGTCCATTAATCCAGAAAAGTGATTAATCTACGCGTTATCAATTTCCGGTGATCTCGTAATAACTGTGCATTAAAAGTGAAGGGAAGAGACATGATGGAAAATAATAATGTGTACCGTGTATATATATATTCCATTGGAAATTACAATCTAATATGTGTTCAGTTAGTTATATTCCATGTTGCACGATCGACGTAAAATTGACTAACGATACAAGTTTGCGGAAATGGCTATGCAATGCATATTAATGATTATGATTTTTCAATTCGCAATTATGGGCTGTTGCGCTATAAATGGATTAATCTGGCTGAAACAAAAGCAGAAATTTGTGCAATTGTTTAGTATTCCGCAATTTGCCACTCTTCAGAAAGAAAATTTAGCCAAACGTCAAGCACTAGAAATACGCGATATGAGAAACGAAGTAGTGAGAGCTGTGTATTATGAGGTATTAAGTGATTCTAAAAAGATTAATAAAAGATTAATTTTTGAAAGAGTTGTGTTCCAAAATTCACACATTTTTAAATTTTTCATAAGTATATGACACTGTTATAATATTAAAATACGCATGTTGCGCGTAATACTTTTGTTCTGTTGTAGGAAAAAAATATGGTGATGTTTTACGACAATGACACAAAAGTTAATGGTATTTGCGGCGATTTATGGTATCTTCTTGAGGATTATCTAAATTTCACGTACGTTACGATTTTTTATAATAAATATATCGAATAATATTGTAATTGTCTTTGATACTTTATATTATGCATTTGTTTAATCACGCAATAAAATTTGTTTATCATAAATTAAATTATTATATTTTCAGATTTATCCTGATCAAAATAAACAATCAAGATTTTGGCGAGAAGCTAGAGAACGATAGCTATACCGGCGTAGTTGGTATGCTAACACGAAATGAAGCGCAGGCAATTATGAGAACTGGATTTTTTGTAAGTCGTATGGATGCCATGGACTACACAACAGCTCTTTGGAAATTCCAGTGAGTTTTCACGTCGATATATATATATATATATATATATATATATATACATATATACACAGCCATATATGTATACACAGACATATATGTATACACAAAGGATTTTCTTTTAGAATTTACCTTGAAAACCATAATTGTGGGATAATACTATATTGGAGGAATTTTATAAGAGTTTTTCTCATTAATATTTACCACAATAAAAAATATTAATATATCTAATAAGATATAAAATATATTCAATTAATTTTACTATGTAAATATAGTCAAATTCACTATGCGTACATATTAATATATTTTATTGTGATAAATAATAATCAATGAAACTCTTATAAAATTCTTCTAATATCATATTGTTTCACGATTACCAATGATTTTCAGGGAAACTCTAAAAAAAATTCTCTCCGTGTACGATAATATAAATTAACGTAATTGTTTATTTTTGAAAACGCGCGCACATTTCTAAATTATTAATTAAAATTCCTTTCTGTATAACCAAATGGAAGAAAAAACAGAAAGAAGAGTTACTGTTTTATCTATGTATATCTTTTTTATCTGCATATCTATACGTATGATTAATTATTAATAAACTGATTTCAGATTTCATATTTATGTTAAACCGGAATGGCTATTCGATAATACATGAATATTAACGTTATTTTCACCGAAAACATGGTATTTTATAATATTATTGCTTATTATTTTAAATTTGGTCGGTTATTTTTTGCGCAAAATACCGAGGAATTACCTGTTCGATGAATGCCACCTGAGTCAATTCTTTATGGTAAATTCACTACTGAATCAGATGTATGGAGTTTCGGAGTTGTATTTTGAGAAATATACAGCTATGGTTTACAGGTAAAATTGAAATAATTAACCTTTCCCGAATATCAAAAGCAATATATTCTAGTTGCGAAAAATTTTTCTTCTAATTTATATATTTTATGTTTCTTTAGCCATATTATGGATATAACAATCAGGAAGTAATAGACATGATTCGCTCACGGCAATTATTGCCATGTCCGGAAGACTGTCTGACAATGATTTACAATTTAATGATTGAATGTTGGTATGAAGTAGCGAATCGCAGGCCACAATTCCCAGAGATTCATCACCGGCTACACAATTGGTATATAAATCAAACCTACTTGAGTGATTTTTGCAACGAATCTATTACCAGTTATTCCGGTAGTAGCCATAAAAGCACGAATAAAACCAACTCGACACAATTGTCAGCGCCCATATATAATAAAAGCGATCAGAAAACAGGCACTGAGCCAACGGTCATCTGTAATCTCAACGATCACAGCAACGCGATAAAAATGCTGCCGACAGCGAATACTTTTCCAAATTCTAACTGCGTTGAGCAGAGACCAAATTGCGGTTTCAATATGAAATATGGAACGCCGATAAAAACATCTAATAATTACCAGAATCCTACTACAAATGTCAATCTAAATGATGTCTATGACGATAAACAGTGTTGCTCACCCAAGTTGAGCGGTGCGAAGAAAGTTTTACCTGTAGTAGCACCTCAGACTAGTGTGTCCATAGCAAATGCGATGAACAACGGTTCAAGACCATTGCAAAATGGTGCGCAATTGGTCGTCAGGTTCCGGATCCCAGTAAAAGTCACAACTGAGACGAGAGTCTCGAAATAAACGACTTTGCTATGAATAGTATATGTTTTTCGTATATTTGCTGCAATAATAAATTATCAGTAATGATAAAACACTATCGGATACTTCTTTAGATAGTATCAAACGAACAAAATAAATACAAGAAGCTGCTGCAACACTAATCCCTGCCATATGTATGTATATTTATTTATTTTTACAAATATACACGTATTTTATATTGTCGCGTATTTCGGATGACGTATTGTATGTATTCTCACAACTATTGGAGACTCTTTTTGAATAATATCAAACGAAGGAAGAATATAGAAGCCAGCTACAAGACTTAATCATTGTCATACACATGCATTTATTTATTGTTACAAATATGCACGTATTTTATACTGCCGTTTATTTTAATAATATATGTCGATCATGTCTCATACATATATAAACTAGTTTAATATTTACATAGGCAGGACATAGAATCGGATATCGTGCTTTAACACGATTCCCCATTTGTGACTATAGTCGTGCAACAATAGAATAAAATTTTCAAGACTTATCTTTTTTATTTTTACGAGATAAATATTCAATGAAACATTATATTAGAGTGAGAATATATGTATAATTTATACGTTTATTCATAAGTTATAATATATAAGAAAAGCAAAGAGAGAGAAAGAGATAATTCTATTTCAAAAAGAAATATAAATTTGCAGAATACAATATCAACAGATATTGATATCTACATTAAAACGAATGTTTAATTATGCATGCTCTGTCCAAAGAGTATAATATTGTATGGAATATTGTTATACTCTATATAAGGCATACCTTATGAATCATGTTTTCAAATAATCTTTACAGAATTGTTCAAAAAGGTGCGAGCACGCGCAATCGGATATATATTGTAATAAGCAGAAATGAAAGAGGAAGCGCGAAAGAGAAAACAAGTGTGAATGTGTGTGTTTCGTGAATGTATGGTTTGAGATGTTTTTTAAAAAGCAGTTTTTATAATTATCATATCGTATGCCAAAACTCGGATAATGAATATTGACTGTTAACAAAAAGGTATTCAATTTGTATATTTTATAATAACTGCATATGTGTATCTTTTATCTGTCTTTAGGGTCTCGCTTTTTTTATCGACAAATATTAATTATTATTTGATTATTGCAATTGTACTATATATAAATCTATTATATTGATTGGCATACTTTAGTTGTGGAGCAAAGTGCTGATGAAAAACACAATCATGAATTAATTTATTGTAATATTTATAGCTTCCCTATGTCACGCACATATCGCGAGTATTCAAAAAGTTTTTAATATAAGCATATAATTTCACATCGCTAAGAGAGATAATTTTACATTGCTATGAGAAAGATAAGTTGTTACGATAAATTTTTCAGACACTTGCTATTTTTTCAGCCGTATATCCTTAGTATTTCTTGACCTCGACACAAATAACTGAGATTTAATATCAATTAACACGCAGCGACGTTAAAAAAATATCAGCGTTCATGTATAAATCATATGTTATTCGTGTATAGAACGTAGAATATACATCCTAAAAAACGCTAAATTATTGTCACTCGATTCGACACTATCTGATAATGAACTTTGTAAAATTAATGCCTATTTTAACCCTTCGAGGTATAATGAATAACGCAGAACGATTAGAGAAAACACAGAATTAAAGCATCCGAAAGAAGACTGTATTATAACTTTTTATAATTTTGTATTAATGTGAAAAAAAAAACATAAAAGCGAATTCCGTTTGCTGGAGAAAAAATAAAGAAGACTGGACTTAATCGTTCGGCAATTTTTACCTCCAATGTTCGTTAACTGGACGGACAATGATCGGAGAGAGAGTGCGCGAAAGTGCTATTTAATTAAAGTTAAATAAGACTTCTCTAGAACTGACGAACCTCCGAATCGAGAAATTTGTATCGATTGTACTCCTAACCGCCTCGAAGGTTTGTCACAGAAACGTAGATCTAAGTTAATTTATGTCGAATAAAAATTTCAGCGAAAGATTATACATTAAGGCCTTTATATATCCAGTCAAATATAATATACAATTCATGTTTTTCGTATGTTGCGATTGATTATTCCCTTCCTTCTATAATAAGGAAATATTGATATATCGAACAATTATGGTAAATAATTAAGGAACTATTAATTAAGAAATTTGAATAATAAATTTTTTTAGACTACGGAGAAATAAATTTGTTTAATTAACTGTTCTAACAATTTTCTATATATAATTTTATCTCTCTATTTTTATTTTACGCTAATTAGATTATCTTTCTATTTATAATATGTATCACATTGCATAATATTTAATGTGATCAATATTTAATTATTTACATGTATAACATGTGTATCTCAAGATCACTAATGTGATAATGAATCCATTTAAATTTTTTGCTCCGCGTTAAATAAATTTTACTATTTTTTCTACCGTAAATTCTTAGTTACATAAAGGATAATTTATAAGTTATGCATAAAAGATATCTCTATAATTCACATTTACGTTTTTTCATGTACGTTATGACATGTATTTATTATCCTTGCTTTCACCTGTGCATTAGTTTCACTGTATGATAACATATCAATGCGCCATCAAGGCGTCATGGAAAAAATACTAACACATTCTGTAGATTATCATGATTGCTACTAAAATTGATTAACCGCGAACAAATAATGTAAGTAAAATGTATTGTAAAATATCGTCAATTTGCGATCTACATTAAAGATTAAAGTTATTTAAATGTATTGAATATTATTACTATATATTCTACAATCTTTTAAGTCTTTAAAGTCGTTTAACTATATTGAATATTGCTACTCTAATTCTACAATTTTTGCAATAATAAAATATGCAATATTCACTTTTTCTTAATTAAATGGAAAATACTGTATCAAAGTAAGAATAATCGACGAAAATATTTATATATATATATATATATATATATATATATATATATATATATATATATATATATGTGTGTGTGTGCGTGTGCGTGTGTGTATATATATATAATACATGTAATCGCACACACATTTCCCCAGTTAGAAATTAATGCTAAAAATTATTAAGTTCACACGTGTAGAATATTTCAGAAAGAGATGTTATCTAAAGTAAACACACGACAAACTATTTTATTCTCATTTGTCTTTTCTATTAACTTGAGCAAACGTGATCAGATACACGATAATAATTTCACAGTTATTGTGCAAATAACATATAAGTCGTCGTCAGTATAATCGTTATAAGTCGTCGAAATGCACATAAAGCATTTTTGTGAGACAACTGGTTACATCGAATAGATTGTTGGTATTTTCTAAAATAATGAACGGCGTAATTTGGGATAAGATGCAGAAGATTTTTGTGCCAATTTCGAATGTACCAGCATATGCTATGATGCAACAAGAACGTTTCAAACAAAATCGAGCACTCGAAAATCACAATTTTCAATTGCAGAATTTGACTTTAACATCTTTCCAGGTATGTTATTTTTACTTAGATATCTAATGGTTGTCCTTAATATTTTGTGAAATCATGCGATAACTATATTTCTAAAAAATAAAAATTAACAATATTATTTAAATATTTCTGTTAATTAATAATAATCATTCATATGCTATATAATTTATAAAACATATCACTCTAGCAAAATTTATATATATTACAAAAAGATTTGAATATTAAAGCTATTATATTTTATTTCCTATGATTTAAAAAATTTCATGTAATACATTATTAATTTGACATTTAACATTTTAAATTTTATCTTAAATTTTAATTATAAAAAATTAGATTGTAAAAATTTATAAGAGACAGAAAAATAGCAGATAACTAATATATATATATAATATTATACGTGTGAAAACTAGTAATGAAAAAAAATATATATACATATATTTAATTTTTAATGAAAATGTAGTAATTCACGAGGTAAAAAATATATCTTTCGGATTTAATTGGAAAACGAACGATTAAATTAATTATTTATTATTTTCAACATAATAATAATTACTGCAATAATTTGCTATAGATAATTATGTAATAGAAGATATAAATTAAAGAGAAAAAAAGAAACAGAATGAAAAAACACAAGAATCGAGGAATTGACTAATAATTTCCTCGATTATATGTATTTTAGGAACCAAATTTTTTTGAATTTTACGACAACGACACGAAAGTTACAGGACTTTGCGGTGATTTATGGACTCTTCTCTCCGAATCATTAAATTTTACGTAAGAAATACATATTCTATTGATTAGATCATGAAAACAGATTTTAATATGTTCTTAGATTTATGTGTAATATATATATATATATAATATATATATATATATATATATATATATACATATACATATATATATGTACACACAAAATTAAGAATAAACAGTGGTTGTAAAAGAGATATATTTTGTATATTTAGATTACAACCAATACGATCAAAAGTAAACAGCGCAGGTGTGGCAGAAAAAAACCAAACTTATTTAAATGGATTATTAGGCATACTTTTTCGTAATGAAACTATTGCTATACCAAAAATCGAAACATACAGTTCGCGACTTACAGCTACTGATTTTACAATGCCTTTATGGATAAATAGGTACATATTTAATTTTGTTTATTATAATGAAGTTTTGTCATTCTATATTTAAAACTTAAATAGAGAAAAAAATAATTAATTGAGTTTCTAAAGAAATATATATTTTATGTAAATAAATGACGTGTAAATTTATCTTTAATAGTTCAGTAAAATCTTGATAAAAATCTATATCTATATAGATGTCTATAATAATGGTAAAACAATTTTAGTTATCGAACATATATTCGTCTCGAGGAAATGCACGACATCACATGGATGGCAAAGGTGTTCTCTTGGAAAGTATGGTGCATTATACTGGTTATGCATGTAACGCTAAGCATCTGTAGTTTTTGGTCACAAATTATTCTCACACGAATCGAGAACAAATATAAAAACACAAACTTCGGCGAACATTTCTTTTATAATTTTGGAATGCTCTGCAATCAAAGTATGAAGGAGCAAGATCAAATATTACATTTTTGCTCTTGTTTTTCAATAGTTATATATGTATATACATATACTGCAATAAAATTAAATAGCAATGCAAATATTATATAATTTATCAAAATTTTAAAATATCTTTATATATCTTTTATGAAGAGAAAAAAAGAGAAATTCTAAAAGTATGATTTAGAAATTGTGTAATTCAGAAATCAGATTCTAAATTTTAACAATGCATAATATATTATTTTAAAATTATATATATATATATATATATATATATATATTTATGTATATATCTGTTATTATCAAAAAGTTTTATCGAAGTGACATAAAACGTAATTAATTACGTAATAATTGTAATAGGCTACGTTCCTGAGATTCTATATGGAAGATCAAAGATATTAGAAATATCACTAGGTCTTTTTTGTTCTATATTATATATGGCATTTGGTGCTGTATTATTTATTTATATGACAAAAAGTATTATTATACCGCCATTTGATAATCTTCAATCTATGGTAACTCATACTAGATATAGAGTTATTACTCTGAAAGGTTCTGTTGCAGATATTGCATTTAAGGTATTAATAAATAAATAAATATATACATATATAAAGTATTAATATATCTCTAATACTAATTATACATGTAATAAACTAATAAACATAATTTATTAAATTTTTAATTTTATTTTTTACATTAAATAAATTCATATGATTTAAAGAATTAAAACAAATGCTTATACATTTGTATATATATGATCTTAAATTCATTTTTTAAAATATTTAGATAAGCCCTAACAGAGATTTTGTACGAGTAAGAACGGCGAAACGCGTTGTCTTTGCATCAACAATTGAAGAAATGTTTGAAACAATATGTTCCTCAACAGAAAAAAATATGCTGTATTTCAAGGTGAAGACGCATACAAAGCAACAAACACTATATGCAAACTAACTCCAGTTGGAGAATCCTATTTGAATATGTGGATAGCTGCAGGCATCGTAAAGAATTTTAAGTACAAGAGAACCATCGATCTCGGGTAAAAGAGATCAGCTATTTTTTAAAATATACAATTATATAATGTTATAATATGTCTGTTTTGTAAAAAGATAACTTTTATAAATAGAATACTCAAATTAATGGAAGTTGGACTCTGGGATGTGCTAGAAGAACGTTGGATGGAAAAAAAAATTAAAGACGATAATATTAAAACGACGGAAGCAATTGGAATAGATCAAATTGCTTTACTAATTGCAGTGATGTGCTGTGGAACAGTAATAGCTTTTGTTATTCTTATAATTGAGAAAATTGTATATACTTATAAATTTAAGCAATTGTAATTATTTTTATTTATGCCATCGCAAATATATACATAAAAAATTTATTTACGAGCAAGAATTTAACTCACATTCAGAAACTATTATATATATTTAAAATGTTCTTATTTTTAAGTTATTTAGTAATTAATGTAAGTATTGTATAATGCTATAATTGAAAAATTGTAATCATTAATAATTCTATTAATAAAAAAATATTTAATTAATGTGTATTATATCAAATTATTATCAATATATATTATATTATATAATATAATTAATCTTATACCAAATTATTGTAAGAGGGCTAATAATCCTAATTAGCATTATTCTTATATCAGGGATATTGTAAAAACAGATTTAAAACTCTTTATTTTTTATTTAAATTGCCTTTTATTCTTTTATAAGTTAATTATATTTACTGATATTTGCGAATAAAAAATCGTGCAACTTAATATTATAAATCATATTAATGAGAAAAAGAAGAATTACAATTTATAAATCACATAAAGATATATCGAGGAAAAAAGTATTGCCATTACCGCACACTTTTGTATTTTTTTTGGTTCAAAATAATATTTTTGTTGTATGTGTCTACGTTATATATAAATCAATCATATTCTAGTATTCATTATGTATATATATTTAGAAAAAAGTATATATATAATTATATATATTTATATTTAATTAAATATTGACTTAAATATTGATTTTTTTCTTCAGATATTATTATTAGAAAATTACTGTTTTATTAATATTACATAATTTTATTTCTTTAAAAGACTTAAAATTTGACGTAAAGTATTAATATAAGTAATAACAAACAATAAAATAAATATCTTAATGAAATAAATTTTACAAATTTTATCTTAATGAGATAAATTTTATAAATTGAAATAAATATCGTACTTGCATTTACTTACGTAAATATATATTTTGTCATGCATGTGAAGACATAATATTACATCTATAAAAATTTGTCCGCAGTTTTATAAAAAACAGACGACACTTTATATTATATTTTTGAAAAAAAAAACTGAAAGAAATTGTCAAAGATTATATTAACATCAGTCATTTAAATAATATTTAAAAAAAAGTATTAAAAGGCAAATAAATAATTATATTTGATTGGCAGACAAAATAAGGTGTTTCTGGTCACGGTTTAAATACTATTAAACTAGATTATTACTGATGAATACGATAATGTCCATTAATCCAGAAAAGTGATTAATCTACGCGTTATCAATTTCCGGTGATCTCGTAATAACTGTGCATTAAAAGTGAAGGGAAGAGACATGATGGAAAATAATAATGTGTACCGTGTATATATATATTCCATTGGAAATTACAATCTAATATGTGTTCAGTTAGTTATATTCCATGTTGCACGATCGACGTAAAATTGACTAACGATACAAGTTTGCGGAAATGGCTATGCAATGCATATTAATGATTATGATTTTTCAATTCGCAATTATGGGCTGTTGCGCTATAAATGGATTAATCTGGCTGAAACAAAAGCAGAAATTTGTGCAATTGTTTAGTATTCCGCAATTTGCCACTCTTCAGAAAGAAAATTTAGCCAAACGTCAAGCACTAGAAATACGCGATATGAGAAACGAAGTAGTGAGAGCTGTGTATTATGAGGTATTAAGTGATTCTAAAAAGATTAATAAAAAGATTAATTTTTGAAAGAGTTGTGTTCCAAAATTCACACATTTTTAAATTCTTCATAAGTATATGACACTGTTATAATATTAAAATACGCATGTTACGCGTAATAATTTTGTTCTGTTTGTAGGAAAAAAATATGGTAATGTTTTACGACAATGACACAAAAGTTAATGGTATTTGCGGCGATTTATGGTATCTTCTTGAGGATTATCTAAATTTCACGTACGTTACGATTTTTTATAATAAATATATCGAATAATATTGCAATTGTCTTTGATGCTTTATATTATGCATATGTTTAATCACGCAATGAAATTTGTTAATCAAAAATTAAATTATCATATTTTCAGATTTGTCCCGATCAAAATAAACAATCAAGATTTTGGCGAGAAGCTAGAGAACGGTAGCTATACCGGCGTAGTTGGTATGCTAACACGAAATGAAGCGCAGGCAATTATGAGAACTGGATTCTTTCTAAGTCGTATGGATGCCATGGACTACACAACAGCTCTTTGGAAATGCCAGTGAGTTTTCAAGTCGATATACTCGTATATATATATATATATATATATATATATATATATATACACACATATATGTATACACAAAGGATTTTCTTTTAGAATTTACCTTGAAAACCATAATTGTGGGATAATACTATATTGGAGAAATTTTATAAGAGTTTTTCTGATTAATATTTACCACAATAAAATATATTAATATATCTAATAAGATATAAAATATATTCAATTAATTTTACTATGTAGATATAGTCAAATTTACTATGCGTACATATTAATATTTTTTATTGTGGTAAATATTAATCAATGAAACTTTTATAAAATTCTTCCAATATCATATTGTCTTACGATTACCAATGATTTTCAGGGAAATTCTAAGAAAAAATTCTCTCCGTGTACGATAATATAAATATAAATTAACGTAATTGTTTATTTTTGAAAACGCGCGCACATTTCGAAATTATTAATTAAAATTTCTTTGTGTACAACCGAATGGAAGAAAAAAAATAGAAAGAAGAGTTACTGTTTTATCTATGTATATATTTTTATCTGCATATCTATATGGATAATTATTAATGAACTGATTTCAGATTTCATATTTATGTTAAACCGGAATGGCTATTCGATAATACATGGATATTAACGTTATTTTCACCGAAAACATGGTATTTTATAATATTATTGCTGATTATTCTAAGTTTGGTCGGTTATTTTCTGCAGAAAATACCGAGGAATTACAAACCTGAAAAAGAAGTCTCTGAAAATTTTAGTCTAAGTGATCATTTTTTCTATTCTTATGCGATGATGTGCGGACAAGGTATAGTAATATAATTAAGAAAATTAAGCGTAAAAACGCATTTTTTCGCTGATAGAATAATTTTGTGCTTTTTTTACAGGTTATATACCTGATGCTTTTCATAATAAAAATAAAATTTTGTCATTGTCAAAGAGTTTATTCGCATGGCTGATATTATTAGCTTTTAGTTCTCATCTTATATATCGTATGACGAATAGAGACCCAAGGTTGCCATTTTATGATATAGATACTCTATTTTCTAATACAAACAAAACCCTGCTAGCATTTCGTGGCTCTATCATCTATTATTATCTTTACGTAAATATTAAAAAAAATTTGTTATCATAATTTTTCTGTCTTAAAATATAGGAATCTTAATCAATAAATATTAAGCGGTTAAATGTACACGGAGAGAATTTTTTCTTAGAATTTACCATAAAAATCATGGTAATCTTGGACAATACGATATTGGAAGAATTTTATCCATGATTACCATGATTTTCAGGATAAATTCTAAGAGAAAATTGTCTCTGTGTACATATGTATACGTGAAACAAAATTAATATTTACACAATAATAAAAGAAATTTGCACACTAATAGTATTCGGGAGTTTGCTTGAATTCCAGTGAATGTTTTGCAAAATAAAATAATTTACGTTTACAATTTTTATTGTGCCATACATTAAATAATTGCTATAACAAATAATTTAAAGATAACATATTTTAAAGGCAATAATTTATCACTTTCTATTTTAGAGTAAATATGGAGAAAGAAGTGACAAAAATCTACTTGACCGTGTTCAATTCATAGATGTTGCGGAGGATATGCACAATAAAATGTGCAACAACAAGAAAAAATATGCATTGTTCGAAATTAGCGATCGATTTAACGCATTGAATAGAGACGACTGCCGCCTCGCAGCTGTAGGTGATTACAATGAGACATATATATCATTTGGAGTTCAGAAGAATTATCCTTACAAGAAAACTATAGATTATGCGTAAGTATTATGCAAGTATAAACATTAAGATTTATATTTGTCATTTAAGAAACTATTAATAATAGATATTATATTTTTTTGTCATCAATCTATTTTTCAGACTTATCAAATTTATTGAAGTCGGACTGATGGACGCTCTTTCAGATCGTTGGTTGAAAACAAAAATGGAAAATACAGAACAAAAACAAACACAGTTCAAGATGATCGATTTGCATCAAGTCTACCTAATTTTTATGATACTCTGTTGGGGAACGCTTATATCATTTGGGGTACTCGTTTTGGAAAACATAATATACTATTACGAAATAAAAAACACTCAGCGTAGACATATATCAATAAATTTTGTTAGAAAAAATTATAATTAGAATTTTAAAGAAAACTGAATAATATACAATGTTTTCAATAATATCAATTTTCTCTCCCTGTCTCTTAATTAATTAGTTATTTAAATAATAATTAAATAATTTTTCTTTTAGCTTTTAATATATGTATTTACTTAATTAGATTTTATTTTATTATAATTATTTAGTAAATTAAATACCCATAAAACCGTAAAAAATCCATACATATATCATACATACATATGTATACAGGGTTTGTCCGGAAAGTAATGCGTCGCATTTTTTTGTGACGCGACTATACATCGCAGAGCGATGGGACGGTTGGGGAGGAAGGGGGGTACCCTTAGCTTTCCAACGGTAGGTCGCTCAATTGTTTCCATGCGCTTGGAGGGTTAGGACGGCTTATTCTGTGAACCTCTGCTTAGTGGTCGCGTCGAACTTGTGATGGAGAGAACGATAGAGCAAAGCTATGCGATAAAGTTTTGCGTGAAGCTGGACAAGACGCCGCTGGAAACTTTTGAAATGCTCAAGAAAGTTTTCGGGGACGATTGCCTTTCCAAATCGCAGTCAAACAGATGGCACAAGATGTTTAGAGAAGGTCGGAAGGAGGTCGCCGACGAGGCCCGCGCAGGACGCCCGTCAACATCGCGAACGGACGACAATGTGACTCGTGTGCGCCAATTATTGAATTCAGACCGTCGAATGAATGTTCGCTTAATGTCGGAATTATTGAACTTGCCGAAAACGATTGTTCACGAGATTGTATCGGAAGACTTGGCCATGCGGAAGATTTGCGCAAAACTTGTGCCCAGAGTGTTGACCGATGCGCAAAAGCAACACCGAGTGGAAGTTTGTGAAGAACTCAAGCAACTCTGTGCAGATAATCCCAATTTCCGGCGGACTTTTTTTTATTTCCTCGGCTGAAAAGGGAGCTCAAAGGACAACAGCTCGAGTCGGTTGACAACGTACAAGCTACTTCGACGGCCTCCCTGAACAGCATCCCAGTCAAGGAGTTCCAGAAATCTTATGACGCATGGAAATCGCGTTGGCAAAATGTATTGACGCAGAAGGGTCATACTTCGAACAATTTTAAGTTGTTTTACCTATGCGATCAATAAATTCTTTTTAAAAAAATGCGACGCATTACTTTCCGGACAAACCCTGTATATGATGTCTCTCTAATATCCATAATGTCTCTCTCACTAATTTTCATTTTTATTTCTGCATTATTTTTTACGATTATGATATTTCTTACAGTCGAGAATATATTTTATGATATTTTATTACAATTATATAATATGTTTCTTAAAATTACATAAAATATGTTCATAAAAATATTCCTGACTGTAAGAAATATCATAATCATATAAAAATAGTGCACAAATAAAAATAAAAAGTTAATGAAAGAGACATTAAAAGATTTTTATCTAAACTTTTGTTCTTATATTTTATAGATAAATATAAAATATAATCCCCAATCTCCACTTGATTCCTCTCGACCAATAGAGCCAAACGCGATGTTATTGCGACAATTATGAAGGAAAGAACATTTGAAAAGGAATTTGAATCCTATGGTTGGGATCTCAAAAATTCCCCCTGTTCCTTCTCTTAACATCCTCTGTAAAGAAATAGGCGAGAAAAATATTGGTCCGAAAGTCGGCTGAATCGGGACTTTCGGACCAATATTTTCTCGCCTATTTCTTTACAGAGGATGTTAAGAGAAGGAACAGGGGGAATTTTGAGATCCCAACCATAGGATTCAAATTCCTTTTCAAATGTTCTTTCCTTCATAATTGTCGCAATAACATCGCGTTTGGCTCTATTGGTCGAGAGGAATCAAGTGGAGATTGTGGCTTTAAAAATTAAAAGAGCTGACTAAATAAGTATTCGCATTATAAAATATAATGTATTAAACACGATGTATTACATCGTACAAAAATTGTTTATTTGAATAAATCGTAAAATAATATTAATAATTATCACATTGTAGATATTCAATAAGAATCTTTAAAAAATTTATATAATTACTCACTCTAGAGTTGCTTCGCCAGCGCGTGATGTCTCTATAGTTGAACTGTAACATATAATAGAATCCAAATTATAGTAGCCAAAATAAAAAATATATTTTTTATAAATAGTAATAAATAAAATAATAAAAATTATTCACTTCATGGTTGCTTTGCCGTTGCTCGATGCTACCCCAGGCCTCCTTGTGTACTCTGATTTAATTTTCTTCGTGGTACACATTAGCGAAAATAATTAATTATAATTAAGCGCGCACTTGCAAAAACTTAATTACATTTACACTAATCACACCCAAATATAATTAATGGACGCGCACTTGATTATGGCGGGAAAGCGGGACAAGCGCGCGAAACTCGACATATTCATATCGTTCGCGATATTCCTAGAGACTAATCTCGCATGCGCGCAAACAGCAACAATTTTAACAAGCTATCGATGGTCATTCAAGCGTCGTATTTACATGCCACGCGATCAAAATTTATTGAAACAGATAAAATATGATTTTAATACATGACACTAATAGTCTATGATTAAAGTAATAATTATACATTGAGTAATTGAACTTACGATAATATGGATCATGTTTTTTTTATAAATTATATGTATATGCTTAATGCTTTTCACAAGTTCAAGATTTTGTAACTGTACAATTATTTACATTAGTATATACAATTATTAGTTGCAATATTGCTTTTATTGAAAAATTAAAACACATAAAATTGATCGTCTTTAATGTGTGCATTAGTTTTGTGATAATATATCAATGTACCTTTAAATACAATAATCAAAGCACGACACATTGCGCAAATCATGATAACGATTAAAATTGATTAGTTACGATAAATTATATAAATATAATATAAAATTCTCGATGCGAGATATTTCTTTTGATCGCAAGTAATGGTTCTAAAAAGTAAATATTAAATTGTGTATTTTTATATATTAATTTTATTATACTCATTGTTACTGTTTTTGTATTGGAATATGTAGCCATTTATATATAATTATTCTTTTATGTATTTTTATATACAATTTGATAAAATATAGAAAACGGAAGAGTAATATATCTAAAGATTGCAATCTGACATATACGTCTAACGCAATTTAAAAAAAAAATAGATTTTATCTAAAATGACATGATTGTATGCCTTTTTTCATCTATCATAAACCAATCCAATGATCATTTTTTTTCTTGGATATAGATCTTTAATATATTAGCGGATATGTAATAAATAAATCGAGTCTCATCGCTAGGAAAAGCAAAAATATTGTAAGTCTTGTAAGGCGTTAACAATATATTTCTATGGAACAACTGTTATTTTTGATTATATTGTATAAAATTTCATTGTCTGACACAATGAACGGTGTTATCTGGAGCAAGATGCAAAAGACTTTTGTGCCGATTTCTAGTGTACCAATGTATGCGATGTTACAACAAGAACGTCACAGACAGAGTCGAGCACTTGAGACTTACAATTTTCAAATGCAGAATTTGACCGTAACATCTTTTAAGGTACAAAAAAAGAAATATATATATATATATTTTTTTTGTTAATATTATCTTTTCAATATTTGTTAATTAATAGAAAGAAGTGCTAACATAGTTTTATTCTATTTTTATATAAAATTTTAATTATTTTGTAACATTTTAAAATGCGGTACTTTAAGTTTCAGTCGTAAGAATCGTAAGAAATTGTAAAAATTGTATGTGAAATTAATTGCATAAATAATTCACAACATAGATATTTGCTAAATGATGCCCTATTAAATTAAGAGGTTGAATGATAATTTCATCGATTATATTATACTTTTCAGGAACAGTATTATTTTGATTTTTACGATAATAATACAAAAGTTACAGGACTTTGCGGTGAAATGTGGAATCTTCTTTCCAAATTGTTAAACTTTACGTAAGATTGCACGAATTATAAATTGCAAAAACAAACCTATTTTATACCTTATGAGAAACTAATGACAAATTAAATAAATAGTAATCAAAGTATTTCCCTTTTTAGATTGCAACCCATGAGAGTAAACGTAGACGGCATGGGCGTTCAAGACGAAAATGGAACTTATAAAGATGGATTATTAGGTATTATTTCCCGTAATGAAACTATTGCAATACCAAGGGTTGATATGTTTGCCGAACGAATTATTGCTCTTGATTTTACATTACCTTTTGGAATAAACAGGTACATCAATTTAATTCATTAAAATTTTGTAATTTTGATTTTTCGTGATTTTTAAAATTTATTGTTAATTTAAAATTTGTTGAAAATATAATTAGTTTAGTATTGATATTAATTAACTTAACATCAATTAACTCAATAGTGATAGTAGCTTAATTAGTTAAACTACATTATAGATGAATATAATAATGTATATAATAATCTTAAAATAAAATTTCACAGTTACAATTTGTATATTCATTGTGAAGTGATACATGACAATGAATGGATGTTAAGAGTTTTCTCTTCAGAAATATGGTACATTATATTGATAATGTATATATTAATAAGCATATGCACTTTTTTGACGCAGAATATTCTTGCTATATGGAATAAAGATAAATATAAAAATACATCTTTCAACGAACATTTATTTTATAACTTCGGAAATCTCTGCAATCAAAGTACGTACAAATGATCGATTAATATGTTGCAACCTTGCTCGTCTTTCTTAAAAGAAATGAGACATTATATCATAATAATGATAATGAGAAATCATATTAATTTGTAATAATTGTTACATATATATTTATGAAGGCTACATTCCCGAGTTTCTAAATAAAAGATCAAGGATGTTAGAAGTATCGCTAGGTTTTTTCTGTTCTTTAATATACATAGCATTTGGTGCTGTATTATTTATTTACATAAAAAAGAATGTTTATGTACCACCATTCAATAGTTTCACTTCTTTATTAACTAATACTAAATACAGCGTTATCAGTCTGAAAAGTTCCACTGGAGCTATGACATTTAAGGTATTTTAATAAATATGTTTACTTACATTATATATACATATACCATATATACATATATATATATATATATATATATATATATTTCTTGTTAATCTTTGTGAAGATGCTTTTATATTTCATACGTTTGAATATTTGCTATTAAAAATTTATAGGCACACTCTGATCCGCGAATTATACAAGCAAGAGAGGCAAAGCGCTTGATCATAATATCAAATATTGAGAAAATGGAACAATTAGCATGTTTTTCGCAAAAAAAGAAATATGCGATATATCAAGGAGAAGATTATTATAAAAAGAGAAAACATGCTGCGTGTAATTTAATGCCGACTGGAAAACCTTTAGTAAAAATATGGGCAGCTTCCGGCATCGTAAAAAATTTTAAATACAAAAGAACCGTGGATCTTGGGTAAAAAAAATATCTGCATAAAATATTTTAGACAAAGTATTTTAGAGAAATTATAGAAATTAATAGCGATCATACAGTTCTTTAATAAATATGATCTGTCTATATTTCATTATAAGTAAAATTTCTACACGAGATTATTTTAATTTTGCAATTTCTATCATTCAAAATATCTATCTATAAAAATAATAAAAATTTCCGTGAAATTGATAAAAAAACTCCTATGATATATTTGTTATTGTAATTCAATTTTATATAATTCTATATTCTTTAGGTAATATTAATCTAAATATTTTTACAAAAAGAGACAAATAGAAAAAAAGGCAAATAGATATAAAGCCAAATACAACTTAATCTGATTCAAAGCCTTAATCTGTGCCAAATCAATTAAACTGATTTTCTCTACTAAAATTCTCTACTAAAAAAAATTCATTTGTAAAATAAATCAATACTGCGATTTTATTTTTTTGGATACTCGATATGGTTTTTCATAATAAGCTTATAAAGATGAATTTAATAATTACAATTTATATATTATAATATATAATTTAATAATATTATAATATTATAGTAACTTCTACTATAATATTATAGTAATTTAATAAACAAATATTCTTTTCATGAGTAGGATCCTCAAGTTAAGAGAAGTTGGACTAATAGATGTGTTAAAGAATCGTTGGTTGGAACAAGGAAGTGATGAACATAATTGTAATGACAATATACCACAACCAATTGAGCTATATCAAGTTTCTTTAGTAATTGCAGTGTTGTGCTGTGGAATCATAATTGCTTTTATTATCTTTATAATTGAAAAAATCGTGTTTGTTTATAAAATCAAGCAATTATGATTATTTTCATTTATACCACGATGCATATGTATATTCTGCAGAAGATTTATTTGCAAGTAGAAACTTAAATGCATTTAAAAATTAATTATCATTAACTATTAGAATTATATAATAAGTTTTTATTATATATATATATATATATATATATATATATATATTATATATATTAATTAAACATAATAATATAAATAACTACATATATGAAGAAAAAATGTGTCAAAAAAAGTTTTTTAAATATTTTTGTATTCTCATTGTAATTATAATCAACCTCTCATTAATGAAAATCCACAGAAAATTAAAATTAAGATAATTTAAAAAAAAATAATACATATATATACTTTTGTGAAAATACTATTATTGAATTTTGTTGGAACACAAATGTGTTTTGTATTATTGCATAAAATGCAATATATTTTTTATTTTATAATCAATATACAATAGATTATTACTTATATATCATAACTTGTGAATTCACGAAGATTGTACATTTGTCACATTCTTTGTCGCATCTTTTGGCGTATCTTCTACTAATGTAGCTTCCACAGGATGAGGCTCAGTAGGTTCAGGATCATGTTTTTCTTTTGGCAGAACATATGTACCTTCTGCAATGTCTGTTGAAGTCATCCAAGATGGTATAATTTTGCCATGAATTCGCCAAACGCCGTATTCATTAGCTAAATGTTTTTCAAATACTATATATTCTAATACATCTTTCTTTAGAATTTCGCTTCCTTGTATTAAGCGACCAAACCTGTCGTAAATAGCTAATATCTGCAAAGAAAAAGATTTCAATTCAGAGATCATTAATAAAAGTATTGTATAAAAAAAAAAAAAATAAATTACAAGTAAATTAAAAGTACAAAACAAGTTACCTGTTGTGTGTGGAATCGGACAGTAAGTTGCGCAAAAACATTCTCTTTTGTTATTACATCTGTAGTCCTTGCATGCACAACACGAGCTGGTTCCAAAGATTCTAAAAACTTCCAGTGTATAGTTTTACTCATTAAATTGTATATCATTTTCTAAAAATATAAAATTATTATAATATGCAATACTATATAAACACAGATTTCTGTTTATTTTAAGTTGGTAATAATAGGAGATATGTATATGCTTAAAGGATATAGTATCTCCTATGCTTAAAGAATATTAAACTTACAGGATATGCTGTTTCTGTAACATATTTTATTAACTCTTCTTTGTTTTTCCTGAAATAAAAACAATTATTTTATTTAATAATATTACTTTGAATAAACAGAAACAATATTTATTTATTGATTTCTATTTATTAATTTTTCGTAATTTTTTAATTCTATTCTTTCAAAATTTCTTCAATTTGTAATATTGTATAAAAATTATATAAAAATATTTATTGTGTATTAATTATATTTATATATTTCTTACACAGCTAAAGCTTGATGTGCCTTTTGATAAATTTCTGTAGCTTCTTCAATAAAATAAGATGTCTTAAATGTGTCATCAAATGATTTAATTTTCCTAATGGCCATTACAGATTTGCCCTTTTTTTCCAAAAATGTAAATTTTTGTTTTGCTCCCTATATTGCAATCATAAAATAAATGCATTAGAATTATTAATATTATGAAATCTATTAGCAAACTATTAGTAAATGATCAGTGTTTGCAAAAAAATTTAGTAAAATTAAAATATACATCTCTCTTATATTTTACAAAATATATATATATTTTATATCTTTTTAATTATATTATAAACAATATTCTTAAACTAAAACAAAACAAAAAAAGAGAAATTACCTCTTTAGTGATAGCAGAATATTTTCCATCTCCTTCAGGAGCAACATAACTTTCAAAAATAGTAGGGGTAGAGCTGATAAATGATGGTCTTTCCTGCCAAGCTTTTTGTGGAATAAAACCAGACTCCTTCATACGAGAGCGTATTTGCTCTTTACTCAATTCAGAATGATCTTTTTCTTTAGTAAATGATGGAAGTTTTATTTTAATAACTTTTTCTCTTCTTAGTTTTTTCCATTTTGGATTCCAGTGTTTACGTATATATCTTACTTGAGTAAAATCATTAGGATAATTAATAGCACCAAGCAATGATAGTTTGTTCTGAAATACAGAATTGTGTTTATTCAGATTTTTCCTTTTAAGGATGGTAATATTACAATGTTCTATACTTGAATGAATAATTCTTTTATTATATAAAATATATCTATATATAACTAAAAAATATTTTAAAAATTATTCATATATATAAGTTAATATATACAATTTTTAAAACACATTTATTTTAAAGTAATAAAAATGAAATCAAATACTTGAGATTTGTGATATCCCTAACATTATAATATAGAAAGGACTTTATTAATGTCTATAAAAAATCTTTACAAATATTAACGTAATAAAAATTATTAAATTTATTAAATTTCATATTAATAATTAAGCGAGAAAGTCATTTGTAACAAACCTTTTTTAGAGTTTTCTAAGAAATAAAGTTCTAACTAACCTGCATAAATTTCCCAGAAGTAAATATCGAGCTTGCGCACTTTAATAACATTTTTGGAAACTTTGTTTACAGAGAACTATGAAAAAACGATCACATACATAAATTAGATGTTTTCAAATATTTTTATTACACCTCGTGTATTTATTTTATTAATCGTCCGAGTTAGATCGCATTGCACATTGCATGAACATAATAAATTCTAACCTAACCTGACCTAACTTAAAATTCGCTGCGTTTACGTTGTTGATAATTTCGTCGATGATTTTATCGATGCAGTAAATGTAGCTAAATAATTCCAACTTTCAAAAATGAATGTGGTAGCGCTGCTTTAGGAAAAATTTAGGGAAATAAATTGAACGAAATCTCGTGTCCTCGTGTTATACTCGTGTTATATTGATACATAACAATATTGTGCGTTTTTAAATATTTATGTATTCTTTTCCTAAAAGAAAAAGTGATACTATAAATGACGTAAATTTCTCTTAATTAATGAATTAAGGAGGAGAGAAGTTTGAAGCTATTTTAATATACAATATATTTATAAATTAAAAAATTGAGAGATTGTGCTAATGTTGTGTAAGACAAAATATTGCTTCTTAAATAATTCTACAATTCGTTGGTTGAAGAATCAATTAGGTATACGAAATATATTAAATAAAATTATATAAAGACATATATACAAAATATATAATCAATTTAGTTTATAAAATAATTCTTATAACCCCCTATTTTCATAAAGTACACAACAAAATTCACACAACATATAAAACTTGAAATTAATCTGAGAAATATATCTGAGTTTATTTTAGTTTATTTTATTTTTTATTGTAATTTTGAGGCTTATTTTAATATTGTATAATACTCATATGAATATTTCTGTTTAGGAAACACTTGTCATAGAACTATGTCAATCACAATGGATTCCATAACTCAGCCTGATATAAATACCAAGCGTGGAGAGAAAAGATCTATATTAGACGATGGCAATGAGACTGAAGTCAAAATACAAAAGACAGAAACAGAGACAGTGCAAAGGATAAAGAGAAAAAATTATGCTGTGTTATTAGGATATCTTGGTAAAGATTATTATGGCATGCAAAGAAATCCTGATATGAAAACTATTGAGGAAGATTTGATTACTGCCTTATTAAAGGCAGATTTAATAACTACAGAACATTTTAATAGTATAAGTTCAATCAGTTTTCAAAGAGCTGCACGTACAGACAAAGGAGTATCAGCAATTAGGCAAATTGTTTCACTGAAACTACGTAAGATATATTTTAATAATATTAATATAATATTTATAGATTTTTTAAACATTTTTATTTAATTAAATCATTTTAATTCATGTTGATTTAATTCATGTATTTTATATAATTTAATAGCCCCTTAACAATAATATTTATTATTAAGTAATTATTCTTAATAAAATTTAGAATATATTATCAAAAACAGTTAAACATTTTTTATTTAAAATAAATGTATATTACACTATTAAATACTAAATATTTTTGTAGCGGAGAAGTTTGACAAAACAGTAATAAATAAATTTTTACCTGATGTAATCACAGTATTTGGTATAAAACGAGTAACAAAGGTTTTAATAGCAAAAGACAGTGTGATGCACGTACCTATAGATACATCATTCCTACTTTTGCATTTGCATTGGAGGATCCAACGCTATTAAAAGTTGGAGAAAAAGTTAATGAAGATGAGAGAATCGAACAGTTGTCAACTATTGCTGGACAGCCATATATTGATTATAGATTATCTCCAGAATCTTTAAATAGATTAAACTCAATTTTGAAGCTTATGGAAGGCACACATAATTTTCATAATTTTACATCCAAAGTGTGAGTAGTATTGATTCAAAGGAATATATTTTTATCTTTACTATTCAAAATTAAAGCAAACATTTTGTTTTATTCAGAAAACCACTAGATCCACGAGCACAACGTTACGTACTGAAATTCCATTGTGCAGAAACATTTATTTCGGATGGTATGGAATTTGCGATATTGGAAATTAAAGGACAAAGTTTCATGTTACATCCAAATTCGAAAAATGGTCGCAGTTGCAGTAGCGGTTGCAAGAAATATTGCATCCGAGGAAGTTATTAACGAAGCATTTAAGACAATGGATAAACTGAAGATACCAATTGCACCAGCTAGGATTATGTCTATGTTATGTAGAATTTTAATAGTACAATATTTTCTTTGAAGATGTAAAATTTATATTATTTATGTTATTTGTATTTATTTTGTAATATAAAGAAGTTATAAATCAATCTTTAATAATAACTATTAATAATTATACATATATAATAATTGTTTGTTGTAATTAACATAAAATTTTCTAAAATAAATTATTCAATAAACGTAAATTGACAGGTACATTATGATAATTATAATAAGAGATATGGTACAGATGGTATTCATGAAACATTGGACTGGAAAGAGTGTGATGAAGAAGTAGAAAAGTTTCAGAAGGAATATATTTTGAAACATATGGTGAATACCGAGATTTCAGAACAAACGTATCCTTTTAAATCAATAATACTATTATGTAATAAATTTTATTTTATTTTTATATTATCAAAATATTTTCTGCTATTTACCTTAATCAATGCAATGTAGGACATTAAAATGGATAGCAATCTTTCTTCCTATTCATTTAGTAAGAAAGAAGAGGATTTGTGGAAGATAATGAAAAACAAGAAACTGTGGACAATAGTATGTAAAATGAAGATACATTATTTTGTCTTTGTACCAATACATTAAAATATTCAAGAAGAAGCAAATATTTGTATTTACTATACGAGAAGTATCGATTATTTTTAATTCAAGACTATAATTTCTTGTAAGTATAATTTGTATAATTGAATGTAATAAGTATAATTATACATTTTCTCTAATTTCCAAACAATTCTATCCAAAAACATCAATGATTTTCAATTCATATTCTGATAAACGTGTACTATCTTTATGGTACTTTTCTTGAACTGAATTGAGAATATGCGTACATGCCGCGTTATTGCATTTTTTGTCAATTTGTTTATTTATCTTTTACACGAGTTTCCAGTTCAGCTAAGTATGTATGTATTAATAACACACGTACTTTCCCTGTACATCCCCGCATCTTCGGTCCATACGCACACACAGAAATGACGCACACGTTTTGCATCGTTGGGTTATTCCCAAGTTATCCCAGTCTTATAAGTAGTAGATATCCAGTAGATGATCGCAGTGAATGATCGAGCGTCGAGTTATAAGAAGACGCGGATAGAGCATTGTCGATCTTTCGCCACGCAGGGCTTTATTATGCGGATTATTAAGCGGATTTTTGCGCTACTAACGACGGTTATGGTGAGTAAAAGTATATTACGACGTTAAAATATTACAAAAACTGTAATTTTT